GCGTCAAAAGACGTTAACACTAATGGGTAGAAAATTTAACCACTCTACAAGAGGAATATTCAAGGTTGAAGAAACAGTCTATCATTAGCTAATTTGTAGGGATTTGACCGCCAACAAGTTTGATCACCAGCTGACATGAGCTACAGAATCCTTGGAAAACGCCACAGAGAACTAGACTGCTGTTTCGTCACCATTCCGGAGTATTTAGCGATACGAAAACACTGGAGTTCGTACACAAGGCATTCCGGTTACAAGTACAGTTCGTAGACCACACAACTACAGGGACATCATCCAATGTTGTTCCATGAATTCCAAATTCTACCAATTCGTAATCAAACTTCAAACAAATCAAATCTTCAAAATACGTTTAATTTATGCTCCGTATAAGTACTCACCATCAAATGTACTAATTCAAGTGATACACTTTAATCTCGGTGAAATAAACAAACAGACTCTTATCAAAGTGAAAATCTAAGAATCGTGTGAATGGTATGGGTGTCTATGTGTATGTGAATGCGTGTGTGTGCACGCATACGCTTTCTTAAGCCCAAAAACTGAACAAATACTTAGTAAACGCATAAGTAAACTATTTAACAGAAGTGTTGTGGGGAAAAGAAGAGATAGAAGAACCAAAGCTGAATACACTTCTCGTGTAACCTTAAGAGAAAAACACTCACACTTATACTGAATGAACACAACTGTGAAGTGTTTCCTCACTCATCCATTCAAGCCAAAATCTCTATTACTGCTAACTGGTATAGCCTGGCGTAGCATACGAACATGTCTGCCACTTACTCAGAGTCATCAGGGAGATTCAACTGCTGATAGTGTGAGTGATATAGAGTATTCTCCCACAAAACTTGCCTACACAACACTCTTAGTGGAATATAGGGCTGCAACCGTCAGCCCTATAGTTTCAATAGAATTTCTACCTTTGACGGGTTGGCGTTGGTAGTCTCACGCACAACCTTGCCTCTTTACTAGGCTCACAATCGGCTAAGAGAGGTAAAGTTCTGCACTGTCAAAGAATCCAACACCTGAACCCGTGCATAATTGGTGAGAATTCTACCTCTGAATCACCCACTCATCCCGTGTATTCTAACTTCAGTCAACTCGTGATATAGCGCTGAAACCAACCAATCACTACGATGAGCATTCACTTCACTTTCCCTCGGTGGACCTCAATGATCAGTAGCTCCTCACTACAGCTTCAGAACATTCATCCATTATTCACCAACATGCTGAAAACTAGTACATAGATTATGGATTATTCTGGGATTTAGATTAATATTGATCGCGAAGTTACAGAAGTCAGAGTTTATGATTCATCAAATTCAAACTGAAGTAGCTGATTGATAAACGAATTCGGCCTTGTAACATAAAGGTGCCGGGTTCGAAAGCTCGTCAGGTCTTAGGTATGAACTGAGGAAATGTTTCAAACCGCGAGTCCTCAATGACTCTCAGACTGTAATATCTGATGGTGGTGAAGTACACGCAAGAATTTATTGAAAGAAACCACAAACGAATGGAAAAAGAATCTCTAATTGCAAATATCTCGAACATAAGATATTAACAATAACCCGTACTCATAAAATAATACCCGTATCCTAAAACCAGCGAATCTTCTCCTTCCTCTAAATCACACTTGTAAATCTAGTTTAAAAAATATTTCCTCAGTAACAAGTGAGCTCAGGCAGAAAACACTCTATGGTGTACACGTGAAAGAACAAACTCCTACTTCAGTCATTAAAAGTAAACGCTAATTGAATCTTCAATGTGTGAATCATTTTAAGGCAGTCATTGCTTGTTGTTTTATTTCAAGGATGTATAATTATTTCATTATTTTATTTATTCTTAAACAACAACGAAAATAACAATTTCTCTGAATACCTCTTCTCTTCTATGACACCATACACAAACACACACACAAACTTCGAAAACAGAATGATAGAGTATGGTGACAGATAAGTAAAACAAAAGTTTGAAAATAATGTGGGTGTTAACAAGAAACTATGCATAGAATATTATCCGGTGAATGACACAACCAAAAAAAACTTAGAGTGAAATGATACTTTATAGTTGGTATCACAGAAGCAGTGTAAACTCTTTCCACTTTCAGCTGAAGATGCGATTCTGGTAGGCTCAATGAGTCCTGCATATATCATCCAGCAGGTGTTATGATCTCTAATACTGAAACGAATGATCGATCTGGTGCTTTGAATATAAATAAGGTCTTCAAAAGTCTCCGGTCAATAAAATTAAATTCAATCCTTAGGGTCTAGGTGGTGTGACAGCTATTAGCCTCAGAAAATGTGTGGGTATTCGATGTCAGACTCTCAAGGATATTTTCAAGGAATCATTTTTCATAAAAATGCTTGCAGTGCCTAAGTCACTATGTGTGTTGGTGGCACAGAGGTTCGAACTCTCGCCGACCATGCACATGGTCCGGGATTCGATCCCCCGCCGACGCGCACATGATATCAGTTATCGGCCTGAAATGTTTGGGCTACCAATATCACATGCTGAAAACTCCACACTTGTACCAAAAGTACTGTGTGGTAGCAAGCTATAATCAAAATAAAATAAAAAATGTAAGTCATGAGTGAAGATTAGACGTACTGCTATTAACTCAACCTTTCTAAAATAATGGATAAACTGCTTTCACAATTTGTTCAAAAACATCGTGTAACACTATGTGAATTATCAAAATAAAATCTTATCCATAATGGAGAGACAAAAACATTGTAGGTGTAGTCTACATGTCACTGTTGTCTGACATCATTTTATTGTCTCCGGTTTAGACAGAAATACTAAATATGTTCGGGTTTGCCTTCCTACACTACACATCTGCCTTCGACTTTGTAGCCACGTCTCTTTAGTTAAACAAGCTTTCTGTAACACAAACAGGGTGTTGGATGAATAAATGGTTACATTATTATTATTATTATTCTCATACGAAGCGGTATACTGCACATAAAGAAAAGTCCCCCACTGTTTTATCAACTTTAGATGGTGTTCCTTAATGTGCTGTTTTTTTCCTATACTATCCCATCTTCCTCCTACATGACTTGTTTCATTCTGATGAAGCCAACCTAGTGGAAGTATATCGTTGATCTGACATCTGAGTCACATTGTTTCAAAATGAATAGCTTTTTGTCGGAAATTAGTCAATTGTTCCTGTCATATGGTATATATATGCATATATACATTATTGTCATTGTTTCTACTTAATTTTAAGTTGATATTCTTGTGGAACAGTATTATAAATGTAAACGCCCCGTTAATTATTTCCTTCATGTACCGGTCTCTGTTCGCTAACCCTGGGACTCCATGGAGAAAGCAAACAAGTAATCAGCCCATGACACGACGTCATGGGACGAAGGATATTTGTGGTTGGTTACCATTGGTTGGTGCGTCATGACTCCCTGGTTGGGGTCCGAGAAATAGTTAGAATCAGTGGCTCGAAATGTTATCAGATATGACCAAGAATAGCAGTCAATGGCAAGCGTGATGCAATCATATTCTTCCTTCTCTTTCTGTTTGATCTTTTCATATATAATTGTTTTCCTCCCAGATGAAATCCTTTATTCATTCTCCTTTTCTTTTCTTCATATTTTGTTTTATTGTTACTGGTACTTTTTTGATTGATCCAATCAAAGGAACAGATAAATAGTTAGAAAGCAATCAAGTGTTTTATTTAAGATGAATAGCTTTTTATCGAAAATCAGTCAGTTACCTCTGTCAAATAGTATATATATACTTTATTGTCACTGTTTCTACTTAATTTTAAGTTGATATTCTTGCCGAACAGTATTATAAATGTATAGGTCACTGTATAGGTTGTCAGCCAATGACATGGCGTCGTGGGATGAAGGATATTTGTGGTGTGTTAGCATCGTATTTTATTCTGAGAACTACACATGGTATCAAAAGCAGTATTTGGAATAAAGGCAGGATTATTACGGAGCCTATTGAATTTGGCACTTCATTTGTAATTAGCTGATACTGTAGGTTCAAATCAGCCTCCACCGAATCCAACTCTGCAGACTGGCTACTATCATCGTGGCTGATAAAATATGGATGACTGTTAGCCTAATGTATGAATCAAATCTGTTGTGGAAAACTGAGCAGTAACACAAAGTCTTATATGCGTGATAGAATTCTACTTGCTGATACCAACAGTGAACTATTTACGAATATCAGGAGGAACGGACGAAGATGTCAAATCGAGCGAGAATCGAGAAGGCGAGAAACACATTCATCAACCTGAATCAACCAATCTGGAAATCTTCATCACTCAGCCACCATCAACAACAAAATTCGGTCGGATTCTCAATACAAACGTCAAGTCGGTCAGTTCTTCTATACGGATCAGATCAGAAACTTGGCGGGCGGGCGGGTCACAAAGAATATTTCCAACATCCTGTTGCAGACCTTTATCAACAACTAACTGTCTTCGCTGGATCTATACTGAAGATCAGATGGCTGGGCCGGAAAGAATCACCAACAAGAAACTATGGGAACAAACAAACGAACAAACAAAGAACCAATCGCCAAACAACAAATATACAGGAGAAAGTGGAGATGGATTGGACACTCACTCGCTGAGGAGGCCGCCACTGGGTGACATCGCGCGCGCGTCAGGCCATTTCTCGAGTGGAACCAGGTCGAAAGGGAAGCGGCGAGTGGGACGTCAGTGCAAGGGTGACATGGAGGAGATCGTGTGAAGAGAGAGGAGTTGAAAGAGTATGGACTAACATGGATGCAGGTGAAAAGCACAGCAGAAGACAGAAGCAAGTGGAGACATGAAGTTGAAGCCCTATGTTCCACTAGGAACCCAAGGAAACAATAATAATATAATAATAATTTACGAATATCATAGACAAGGCTTACAGTAGACCACATCTACTTAATTTACGCTGAAATACATCAAAGAAACTATTGTTTACTGATAGGAATATAATTAAAAGATATACATATATAAACACAGTTACACTTACCAGATTTATATTTACATATGCCACTATTGATCAGGATTATCAAATTGACCCGGTCAATACTAATAATAAAGGAGTTGATCAGAGTTAATTACAGTTAGCTTATGATTCAAGACTTGATTGTCTCGAGTGTGATTGATAACCTGATGAACAGCAATCAGTTGTCATACCGCTTTTAGATATCCCCCCTGAAGGGCCAATTGTATGAACGACAACAGTAGCAGGAGAAGTAGATGCTAGGACGGTAGAGGCAACAGGAGCACCAGCACCGACACCAACACCAGCAGTAGTAGACGAAGAAATTGAAGACAATGAAGAGTCATTTTCATTTCCCTGGTAATGTGATGATGTGTAAGCTACAGTAGAATGGATAGACGAAGGAGGAAGTGGAGGAGGAGGAGGATGATGATGATAGTCAAAAGGGGGATCAGAATTTTTTGGATTAGTATTCATTGACGGTAACACTTGTAAATCAGGACGAATTTTACGCCGTCTAGACGATCGAACTAAAAGAACACTATCTGTAGCAAAATAATCATACGACTTTTTACCATAATTACTATACATATCAGTTATCTCATCATTTTCATTGTTCGGATAATATATACCAATAGGATTTTCAGAAGGGATACCAACATTCCTATATGGTTTAGATAAATGATGAGGATGTGGTAATGAATAACATGTTACACTGTCTGAGGTCAAAGGGTTGAAGGTGACATTTTGACTAGAAAGAGGAGGAGTCAGTTTATCGCCTATCATATCATGTTGTGGTTTGTCTAATTCAATAGGTATTGTTATTGCTTTTGTAGCTGTAACTGTTTCATCCTGTGATGATGGTATAGATTTATCTGTTTTTTGTACAGGAGGTGATCGAGGTAATAGACTGCCTATTGATGCTGAACCAGGCGTAGATGACATAGAATTTGATATAGGCGTATTAGAACTTGAAGTAGAAACACGTCCACCACTTGAAGATTGAAATACATTTGACTGGTGAGATGAAAATTTAGGTAGATTTGGTGTTTGATTTGTGTTCATTTGAACAGAGATCAGATCATTTCGGGCAACTGATGGTTGTGATAGGAAATTCCATTCTAAAATATACAAAAAAAGAGAAAAAAAACACACCACACAAAGGATAAGTTAAAAGCTCTGGAATCCAACACTTGACAATAATTTAAAAGTAGATGACAGATAGGCATAGGGAAAGCTACATGCAATTCTAAAGGAAACATCTCAAATGTGGTAACACAGTGATGAGATTAAACATCTGAGCGACAATACAACTCTTCTGAACATACAGCCTAATAGACTGACAATCATTAACCTTTCCGCGAAATATTACGTGAGAGATTAACTCTTGATAAATATAAATGCATGTTTTCTTAACTAGCCAGGTTCGATTATCGGCCGATATACTCCTAAATCTCGTTCAGCCGGTAGTAAGCTTGGGACACAAAGGAAACTGACTAACTGACTGGTTTCAACGTAGAACTTGGCACAGATGTGCAGCAGTTCGAGTTGCCACACTCTACTTAACATAAGCTAAGAGAGGAGAGTAAAGGTAGATAACAAACAGAAGTGTGAGGCAAAAAAGAATAGTAACATGGAAGAACAGTAAAGTTTTATTGGATGTCATAAATCACAAAGAGTGAATGCATCTGCGCCAGACACTGAGAACGACTTTGAGTCATGTCACCAACAGAGTGAACTGCTGAGAAGTATACACGCCCTTTGGTTGACAGCCGGATATCACGTCTACGTCAGAGATGGAGTAAGTTGACATGTGCCACACGAGCTTTTTGTATCCCAGCTGAGATTTCGTCAGCGAACAACCTGCTGGGGCTGATGCAACTCCCCAAATATGTGAAGTGGTCAAACACGCTCTACTACTTCAATCCTTATCTTTAATTATTATTATTTCCTTTAGTTCCTAGAGGAACATAGGGCTTCAGCTGCATGTCTCCATCGGTTCGGTTCTCTCCTAAAGTTTTCACCTGGCTCCAGGTCTGCCCACATGAACTTGACTTGTGCTCTATCTGCAGCTCCTGTTTCTTTGAAAGCTTTTAATTTGATTTGGATTGTCCCTTGTACGAGATAGTGGTCTGAGCCATCGTCTACTCCTCTTCTTACTTTTGTATCCAGTAAGCTGAGCCGCCACTTCCTTGAGGTTGAGATGAAGTCAGTTTAATTTTTGGTTCGCCAATCTAGTGACACCCCTCTTAGCCTCGTGGATATCTTTGTGTTTGTGTACGCTGTCACCAACCACTAGTTCATTGAAGGCGCAGAAGTCGGCGAAAAGTTCTCCATTTTCATTCACTTCTACAAGAGCTGCTCCCGTTGAAATTTTGGTGAGTCCATTCCCGTTCCATCTGCTTTCACATATTCCCAGTACTTGAATTTCGTATCTTTTCATCTCGTTTGCAATCTTGGCAGCTTCGCCAATCTCGTACATGGTAGGAACGTTCCACGTCCGCACAAAGACTTTTTCATTTGGCGCAAGGAGATTCATCTTGCTGAAGTTTCTGTAGCAACTTTGTTTACAGGGTAGGGTTGCTAGTCTCACACCTGAGAAGGGGGGTTGCTACATTAAAATATCATTTAAAGAGGAGCGACCTTGTGGGTTGCTCCCCCTAAAATCAGGAAAAAAGGAATAAAGCAATCAGAACAGCACCAGCAAAAGGAAAATAATTCACAACAGGAATGGGAGCGACAACAACAATGAAAAAATAACCTTAGCAGTATTATCACAGTTAAATAGACTCATTGGCTTGGGCCGACTTAGACATGTCAATCCATTAATATATAGAATTACAGATATTAGTTAGTGTTAGACAGTCACAAAATGACAAGCAGATAGTTATAGGTACTATCGGTCAACAAGATTATGTCCACAGTTCAGTGTTCGAAAGGCAAATAATTACAATAAGTTCCACAACTTTTATTGGCAAGAAAATCCACAGAAATAAGAGTTTTATGTAACTGAGTAAATGTAGTGTGACAGTCGAACAGTGCGTCAAGGTCAAGCTAGGAGTCAATGTAGTCCAGTCCTGCAGCATCATCTTACATGGGAAAGATCGAGTGTGAGGCTTGCAACGTCACCCCAACAAAAAACACCACTTCTACTGAAACTGCAATGCGCAAGCCTGAAGTTCTATGTTCTACTCGGAATGTAAAGGATTGAAATAATGAATAAATAATCATAATAACTAGCGATTCTGATATGAGATTCGCCATCGGATCCATGATTTCAAATGAATGTGTCAGATAGGCAGTTTTACAGTTACAGAGCAAAATAAGTAGCAAAAATATGAAAAAAATCTAGATAAACAACTACTTCATACACATGTATACAGTTAGTGTGGATTTTATATTTTAGTAAGCAACATTTTCGCAAAAGTATCGGAATATAAACGCGAAAACACTGGCACATATGAAAGTCACTGGGTTAAAGACAGGTTTCAGAAGGTATCATTTTCAACAGAAAACTACAATTATATCATTAACAAATATCATTACCAATTCGATATCTAGGAGAATTGCATACGATTACCAATCGTACAACAATATATTTTCGATTTATTTACCGACTATAATTGACTGATGGTTCAAATGGTGAGCTTATCGAATCTCCACCCTTGGAATGTGAAACTAAGCTATTGAATCGAAAAAAATCTGGGATAAGGCTAGACGACCGACTGACAGAATTCAAAACCTTACACAGAAGTGCACTAGTTCAACTTGCCACACTCCACGTACAACACAAACGACAGAACAGAAGAGATTCTCTACTGAGAACGATTTTGAGCCATATCACTAATTGTCTCCAGCCATTGGTTTTAAAACCCCAATTAAGCCGTCTACATCTCTCTACATGCCTCAAACTAATTGTCAAAGACTTCATGGTTTTTGTTTGACTCCCCCTAACTCTTTTCCACTCTGACCCTATGTCAGTTGAAGTTACGCGTCATGGAGGGCTTTAGCTAGGTACGCATAATACACATTTCCTAGCCATCTCAATTGCTGTGGCTTCACAACCTCCTCGATTGATTTTCTCTTACTGCCTAACACTAGATGCCAACGTCACGTTATTGTAACACCTAACATGGGAGATAGAATGTAGACAGGCAGGATCAAAGCCAACTAGCCTTCTCCTATCTTCCAATTTCAACGGACATTCGTCAAAGTCATAAAGGAGGACGGAGTGAACCGATGGGTAGTATACTTGTCCTTTGATTAAAAGTCGAATATCATGTCTACGTCAAGGGTGACGTAAGCAGGGAAATCTTAAAAGATGCTTTGGTATCAAAGCTGAGATTTCGTTATTTGAGGTTAGGCGATCAGAATTTACCGACTGAAAAGATTGTGAAACTTTATCAAATTAGCCGTCTCACAAGCAATCATCGAAGTAAAAAGTAGAATTAGACTAGAAATAGAGTAAAAAGTGGGCAGATCAAAGGACTATACACATTCATGAAGTTTGCTGTCGACTGCCTGTCTGACAACGAGGAGTAATGTACATCACCTGGATGAAATCATCGAAAAAAGTACAGATATCTATGGTTCTTTTTAACTGTCGTATTGTTACATTTGTCTTCAAAGTGTGGCAAGTTCAGTTCATGCGATTACGTGCACTGTTCTATGTGTATTTATCTGTCTGACATTTTTGAAATAAGAAAATTTGAGGGAAGTTAATTTATTTCTTCATTTTATTTACATCAAATACCCAGTTTGCAACTTTCCAGACTTACAAAATGCACAGCATAATTCGGATTTGGACACAAGAATATGCCGTCTTCTATAGAGCACGCTTACATTCCACTAAGAAGTCGAAACTGAACAGAGCAGGATTTCTAACTTCCGTCACAATTGATGAGATAGTGGTCACTACTGTGTCATATTGCCAGTGAGTAAATTATTCTGGACATTCGAATTGATGGAGTTCACAGAACGCAACTGTTCATTTGGCAGTTTCCAAAAGTATTTCTCAAAAAAATAATAATCACTAGAATGCACTTATAAAATTTTGTTTAAAAAACTTTCCAGATATTATTAAATAAGTGTTTTTTTTAAAAATATTTTATTTCAAGTTAGATTATGGGATGATATCAGTGCGAGAAACACTGAAAACCAGCACAGAGTATTGAACAGATGTGTCTTACTAGTCTGAGACTCGAAACCAATAAGCACCCAATAGGGATTCAATCCACCACCTTCCGATTACAAGGCGAACTCGTAGACCATTCATTGAGCAGGCGGGACGTGATCCAGTAGCCTATGAATTCCAGCTTCTGCCAATTCATGATTTGAGCTCGACCACCAACCAATTTCTTCGGCGAGTACTTGTTCGACCCTATGGACCTCACTGGTCACAACTTCTCACTAGAAGCAACTTCAGCCTATAGCCAGTCACCAGAGTGTTAGTTTATAGGGATCTGATCTATTTCAGGTTTGTTTCCAAACTGGAAAGAAATAAATCTCTCGTACTCCCTAGAGGTTTCCAATGGTTCTCGAACTGATATCAATCCTTGATCAAACCCGAAACAAATACTTGCCTTAGAAATTTTTTAGGTAAGAAAACTCGCCAATAAAATGAGTTTTTAGCAGTATCAAATGTTACAAGAGATAAGTTTTAATGCCTGTTTAATCAAGTCGTGACCAATCGGGTGCAGCAAGTCGGGTGAGATGACAAATACTCGCCGAAGACATTGGCCAGGGGTCGTGCTATGTCGTGAAGTTAGAATTCATGCACTGGCCATTGAATCGGGTCCTAGTGGCTTAATGGTATACTGACTCGCCTAGTAACCAGAAGGTCCTGAGTTCGAATCCCAGTGGGTGCGCACTGCCGAAGAGTCCCAAACTAGGACGAAACAGCTGTCCCATACTTCCAGGTTTTCCAATGGTTCTCTGACTGATGTCAGCTCATGATGGAATCCTGAAACACATTAAACTTTATTAAATTCTGTCCAGAAGATAACAGAAGATTGAATTTATTTGTATAACTAAGAGCAAGGTGGTTTACACAGTTACCATGTAGAATAGGTGTATAGGCCATTAACAACAGTTTGAATACACAATGTACAGTTTATTGACT